ATATTTTTCCATATTATTAGGTATAACATGAAATTCCCTGTTTTGAATTTTGCCGATGCCTTGCATGATTAAATGTGCATCATAGTGTTTTAAATTATGAAATACGACAGGAATTTTCTTTTGAAGTTTAAATTTCAAATTGCACTTATTGTGCAGAGCTCCTCTATACTTTCCCGTAAGATGATCGTGATCTTTTACACGATCATTATTCAAATTTTTTTTGCATAAGTAGCAATGAGTTGCATTTTTAAAATTTTGTTCATCTTGAGATGTCATGGAAAGAGGTACAATACTATATAATTTTTCAGCTATTTCCTCTTCTTCACGTAAAATATTTTGTATAAAATGGTCTACTGCATTTGGACCTCTATATACTGTTACAGGTTTAACGCTTTTCCCATCAGGTCCTACAATTATGTAAGCATATCCGCAAGCTTTATGATGATGTATTTTTTCTGTAAAAGACGCAGTAGCTACATCAGGTGTACAAGTGTCTATGTTTTCAATTAAAGCTTCAAAATCAGCATAAATAATGTACGGAATAGACTCTTCATATTGATAATTGGTATATTCTAATATTTTTTCTTCTTCTGATGGCATTTTAATTCTCTGTATGTTTTGATGTTGACAGTATTTTGCATGTTCTTCTAACAGGTTTTCACGGGTGAATCTATGCAAACACCTCATGCAATAGAACATATTTCCATCATGTTTTGTGAGGTTACCTAATAACCGGGACATATTTCTTATTAAGCAATAATGTTGAGTAGTGTCATCACTGATTAAAAGTAAATTAATACAATCAGTTTCTTTTCTGTTTGAAATGTAGAGGGAAAGACTTCTTTTTCTTCATATCCAAATACATTTATTCTAAGATTATTTAGTTTTTCAATAGATGATATTTTTGTAATAGGAACAGGGCATTCAATATTTCCTAATTTTATTTCATGTTCATAGGGTTTATAAACGATTTACTCGTTCTGGTTTATTTTCTCTTGAAAGGCATATATTTGTGTGCAAGTAAGCACCACACTAAACATTTTTGATCCTCATTTTGAATGTTTAAAATGGCTTTTTTCATGGCAAGTTCTTTGGGAAGAGGTATATAACTACTAGCGGCTAAGGGATGATATCGAGCTGTGCAGAGTTCTAATTTTTCAATTTTATCTAATGTCCATCCCGAGCCATTTTGTAAAAATTCTTCAAACGATTTTTTTATCTTGTTATAGGCCTCATTCAATTGTTCTTCAACATTCTCTATTGTTAAACTTGTGAGGCAGGTAGATCTAAAATGTCGGTTTAATAACCTCTTCGTCCCCATCATGTCCTATTCTAGAGAACTGTGCTGTTACTATAATGTACCATTTTAAAGCCTTTTTCTCATTGATTTCTTCCTCGAGTTTCGACATAATATTTAATTTGATATTATTTAAAAATATTTCTAGATCTTGATTAATTTCTTTGGTGGCGATAATTGTAAAAGAACTGAAGACGTTTAAGGCCGACGCTGCATGCTTCATTCGCTTGTTTAATGGATGGGGGTTATTACTTTTCCTTTTAATACTTTGAACAGTACCATGTTGAGTACGGTCATGTTTCATTAGATCATGTTTTCTGCTAAACACGTCGTTGCATTTTTCACATGAAAAGGTATTTTTTTTAACATGAATATTTTGTATGTGTCTTCGTAAACTATCTGCTCTCGTAAACTGAGCCTGACATTCTTCACAGTGAAAGATTTTTCCCTCATGTGTTTTCGAATGACGAACTAAATGACTTTTATTGCTAAAACTTTTACCACATATGTCGCAAACCTGTGAAAGATAGAAAAGCGGCTTTCAATATGCATGCTTTCCTCATTATAAAATTACTCATTTTTAATTATCCCTCACTAAAAAAAAATTAATTACATAATTCATTTTAGAAATCTTTTAGTATTAACTCTTTACGTTTAAAGAATTTTAGTTTAGTTTAAAAATCTCTCTCTCTCTCACTACTTTTTTTTCCTAATAATCACACATTATACAACAACGACTGAAGGGAAAGAGAACCATTGAATAAATAACTATATATCTGCAAGTCACTATTAAAAAGAAAAAAAAAATGTTACCTCTCTTGTACTTGGTTGAGGTTCCATTCTTTCAGAAGTTAGAGAGTTGAATTCCTCCTCCTGAATTCCAAAGTCGATAAACTAAGGAAAAAAAAAGAGAAAAAACTGTGTTAATAAAAAATATTTTTTTAGAATATTCAAAAATGATGACTGCTGTTTAAAAGTATTTGATACTTCATTCATTATCTTATAATAAATATACTTTTAAAATAAAGATTCAAAATAAAAGCATCTTCTCTCATAAAAAATAGTTCATTCATGCATTAAAAATATCATGCAACGATATACAAACTCGACTGATTTCCTTCAGACTCTTACAAATGCTTTAAAAAAATTTTTTTTGAACTCTAAAACTATGTAAAAAGCAGGCTATTTAATTCAAATCATACTTGAAGCAAACATATAAATCATGCATTAAAAAATAGATTGATTATAATTCATTTTAAAAAGTTCATCTAGTCTGAAAAAAAATAATAATTAAAATAATATATAACAGTTCTAATACTTACGTTGGAAGAAACAGATTGGTGATCTTGTTCAAAGCCATCGCAAAAAAATATTAAGCTCTGTGAATCAAATCAGGAAGACTTGCTCTTTTCAAGGTTGAGAAGAGAACTGACTTTTTCCATTTCTGAAACACCTTTTATAGGGATTAAAGAATGTTCTCGAAACATTTCAGATTTGTATAATCTGAACCAGGACAACAACAACAACATTATGATAACCCTTTCTTTCGAATACGATTTCAACTTCCATTAACCCTTATCATAACGTGAAGTCTACAACGCTTATCAAGGATCTTCCTTCACTTCTGTATGTATTGTCAAACTTGGAATAGCAACAACAACCTTAAGATAATACATTCTTTCACATATGATTATCAGAGTTTTAGAAATTTTCCATTACTCTATCATGATAAGTGGATGATGCTTTTAAGATTACCCTTATGCATATATGTATAAGTAATGTCAAACTTAAGAATAACAACTCTTTCAAATAAGTTTTCAGTGATTATCAGAGTTTTCCATTAACCTATCTTACCATGATAACGCAATAATATAATGACGCCTTATAGACTGTCCTTCCCAAACAAGACAAGACAAGAATGTATTACGATAAGTGTTGATGAATTATATTGGTGAAGATATATTTTTATGTATTAATTTTAAAAATATAAGAGATTCTTTAAGGCAGAAAAAAATTGTTCATTTATTTTGTGATAGGTTTTTTGAATCGAAATGTTATGAAGATTATAAAAATGCATTAATATAAGTACAGCTATTCTATTTAAATTTCTGTGTTTGGTTGATGTTATGACTATTTTTTTTCCTTATGTTTTTAATAGAAATATACTTGGAATTTTCTTTCCTTAGTTAATATCAAATTAACATCAATATCCATTTACTGACATTTGATATACACGTTTGCTTTAAAATTAAAACTAAAATTTCAATATATTCTCGAGTGACTGTTATAAAAAGTAAACTAAAGGAACATTTTAATAAATTTACTCCAAACAGTAAAAAATTCTTCGTGATTCCTAATCTCGCAAGCAGCAACTACATCGTAATAAACGCCACATTAGATTTGGACAGTAATTCAAGATGGTAGCTAGCTTTACTGAAGGCGCATTAACCCTTTCCGGCACGCTACCTTTTAAAACCGGAGTTTCGATTAAAAAAAAAAAAAAAAAAAAAAAGAAAGGTAGGCAGTCTAATTAGGCTAGAAGAGTACACAAGTAAAATTTTGTGAAGAAAGCACTTATCGTTTTAATTCTGTGGGTGTGCCCAAAGTGGCACACTGATTGAATAGAGCTTCAAAAAGAGTGCTGAAACGAACACTGTTGTCAATGAACTGACCGATAAAATGCGGAGAAACAAAGAATACAGACTCCCAGTTGTCCTAGATTATCGGTGAGCCCGGTCCGGGCACACCTAGGGTTCGTAGTTTGATTTTAGGCAAGATTCCAAGGTAAAAATTTAAAACTAATATAGAGTAAGAAGATTAGCATACAGCCAAAAAAAATAACACAGAAATTTCTTTTCAAACAATTCCTTTTATAACCTAAAAAAAAATCTGGAAGATTTCTTTGAAAAATGAGGGTCTTAAAAAACTAAACATGGCTAAAATATTTGGACTAGTTTGTGTTGAGCTGCCATCTATTATAAATAAAGAAGGTTCAGAGTAACCTATCGTAACCTTGTAGAGACATTAGGATTTTTGGAATACCGGCCAAGCGTGCTACCGTTACACCACGAAGGCACGCTGGAAACCGGGAGAAATACCTTATATACTCCCCTTTTTAAAGGGCGACTAGGGTTTTAGGGGACTTAGTCGCCAAATCCTGGGTGTGGAGATGTGCAGAATCATCATCCACAACCCTTTTGGTTCAAGCGCCACTTGTAGAGACATTAGGATTTTGGGAATACCGGCCCAGCGTGCTACCGTTACACCACGAAGGCACGCTTGAAAGCGGGAGAAAATACCTTATAACCTATAAATCCTTTCTCATTCAATTTTTCTCTGCGTACAGAAGGAAATTTTTAGGTGTGTCCAGACTGGACACACTGTGCCGCAAAGGGTTAAATCTTAGGTCTCATCAGTCATACTAGTGTCTCTTCCTAAGTCTTTATTTTATGTATAAATTTCATATTTATAGAGTGAGCAGATAAAAATGAAAAAGAACGAATATGAAAATTTTGAAATTCAAAAGGTTACCTATTTAACAAAATAACAATATAAGTTTTGCTGTGAAATGTTAATGACTAAAATCTCTGATAAAACAGAAACTTTATTAAAAATTTATTAAAATTAATAATATATTCACCTGAAAAGCTTAATCTTCTGCATTCTCAATATTGCCTATTTTTTTTTTTTTTTTTTTTTTCAGAAAAAGCTGCTTCAGAAAAGGTTGAAAACGCACCGCCTTGCACTTCGCAGCAAAGCAAATGCAAATCCAGATCCAGCGTCCGGCCGCCGTCTTCAGAAGAATCTAGTCCAGGAGCTTTGCCAGCTGACTTCCGGCCCGGCCGTTTGTCACCTTTAGAGATCTTACATCGCATTTTTCCGAACCAAAAGAAAACTGTCATGGAACTTGTTCTTCAAGGGTGTAATGGGGACTTAGTGAAAGCCATCGAACACTTCCTTTCTGTAAATGATGCGATGTTTTTACCCCATCCACCAGTCACCTATGGCTATTCACTTGCAACCCAGGATGTGCCTTTTGCTCCACGACCTGTGCCTCGACTTACTTTAGGATCAATTAAGTCAGCTTTCACTCCTCTTGTACCTCCAGCAGCTCATACAACAACAGCTTCTCGTACCACGGAAGATCCAACATTGTTTGGATCTGTACCTAGATTATCAGAATCTTCACTTTATGTTCCGTATTCAATTGCACAAACTTCTCATTTGTTCTTACAGCCATGCCCGACTGGTTGTCAACAATGTAGACGAACGTTTGCACTTGTTTCTGAGACAGAAACCCAACTCAGGGCAACACCTGATGATCAACCACCACTGAAGGAGCCATGTGGAAGGACACAAGAGGCCGTTGATCTTTCTGATAGATCATGGCAAACTGGCAGTCCTAATGGTTGAATGACTTCACAAAGCTTTCGCACTGTACAGACTTCATTAGATTCCTTGCTATTTATACGTAATCCCGAGCCATCAAGATGGAAATCAATGGCAACATCTGATTGAGACACCTAAAGGGTGATTTCATGAAAAGTGTTTCTATCACAAACAGCATACAGCTTGTTGCAGACACGTGTATTTAAATAATAGCAAAACTATGATAGACCTGGAACCATAGCATTATTAATAGCACTTTCATGAACAAACTTGGAAGATTTTCAGAAATGTACATTTCCTTATACAAACCTGATGATCAACCACCGCTCGAGCCTTGTGGAAGGACACAAGACGCCGTAGATTTTTCTGATAGATCATGGCAAACTGGCAGTCCTAGTGGTTGAAAGACTTCACAAAGCTTTCATACTGTACAGACTTCATTAGATTCCTTGCTATTTATTTACACCTGTGTAGTTATTCCTATAATTGACAGTATACAGGAATAGTCAATGTGTGATATATGTAAACTACATCAATAAATGTTCTTTGAACAATAAATTATCAAATTCATTAAAAAAATATTATGAAATTATGTTGCATCATTATACCAAAAACAGGCTAATATTTTGTTAGAAATTCAAGACATACATAATACTAAAGTAAAAATTGGATCATTTTTTTTTTCTTTTTTCTTTTCATTTGTTTATACGTTAACAAAGCCAAATATGCAAACGTCACGGCAAAGGCTACATTTCCACAGCTTTACCACACACTTCTAAATCATTCAAGAGCTTTCACTTTGTTTATTTACTTGCTACTAAATCATTAGACATAAAATAGATAATGACCTATAATTTTGCAATTGACTTTCTTAGAGCGTAACGCAATTTTGAAGTAATTTCCCCACATACCTCTACTTTTTAAGCATTATTACGCTTTTATGATAGGTTACCAGTGTATCCTACACTGTGGCAGTTTACTGGCTGATAACAATATATTCTCAGTAATTATTTGTTCTTGCTTCTCAGCCGAGTTTACCTATTATAGAGCCATTAGGTACTTTGTGGAAGCAGGAAGATTGAAAAATTAGCAACCGCCTTCGTCGGGAATCGAACCACGGACCTCTATACTACCGGCCCAGCGTGCAGAACCACTACACCATGAAGGCACGCTAGTGCCTTCATGGTTCATTAGTGTGAGAAATATCTTATATACTTCCTTTTTAAAGAGCGACTGGGGTTTTCATGGGATCCAATCGCCAAATCCTGGGTGTGGAGAAACCTCACCCAACACCCTTTTAGTTCCGGCGCCACAGTAGTAAGATTAGGTATATATTTTTGGAAGCAGGAAAGATGAACAATTAGCAACCGTCTTCGACGGGAATCGAACCACGGACCTCTGGAATACCGGCCCAGCGTGAAAAACCTCTACACCACGAAGGCACGCTAGGAAAGCGGGAGAAATACCTTATACTATTAGCTTACAGTTTCCATGAAATATCCATTGTCTTTGCTTCTTGAGATTAGTGTTATTTTCATTTACCATTTACTTTGCTTTACGATTTACTTACTTCCATGACTACTACATATCTTCTACAGAATTTTATAACACTATAAGTAGAAGTCCGTATGACATACGTTTCGTGTACCATTATAGTAAAGATTATGTATCATTAGTAAGAATTCTTTTTTTTTTCTTTCATGTAATATCATTCTTTTTTATTTTTATAGTACTCTGTTAAAAGATTATAAGGTATTTCTCCCACTTCCCTAGCGTGCCTTCGTGGTGTAACGGTAACACGCTGGGCCGGTATTTCAGAGGTCCGTGGTCCGATTCCCGGCGAAGGCGATGCTGGTTTTTCAATTCTCCTGCTTTCAAATATATACCTAGTGTCTCAAAAAGATAAAAATCTAAATATTTTCATAAAATTATGTTATTATTTTGCCTTATCTGCACCACAGCTCTTAGGTGGTAAATATATTGATTATGATATTATTGATTATGACTCAAATTTCCATCAAGCCCCGAACAAACCCAAGTTACTTCACTAGAAGATTTCCTCTTCTCGTGACTCGTACGTCTAAAGCAGATAGATGAGCTACATCACTGTCTCGAGCGTCGGAAACAGAACGGTTTGACCTTGAAAGATCATAACCACGTCTGTTTACAGAGCTTCGGAAAACAATAAAAATAGTTACGCATTTCGCACCCCAGCATCAAAGCCAAGATGCAATTGTTACTGTCCTGGCGACTTCGATTCATATTGAAGGTATTTCTACTTATCTTCAATAATTTTCATGCAGTAAAACAGCTCATTATCTTAAATAATCAAGCTGAGGATTGATCCACTCCACTTATGCTTTCCATAGCCTGTCCACTCTCTTAGCTGACTTGTAAAAAGTGCCCTTTTTAAAAGCTCGAAGGAACAGTAGTCCACCAGTGCTGTAGCAGAAGACCTTCTCTGGAATATTTGAATAGTGCTGTTTTGATTTTAGGATTCTTGAGAGTGGTAAGCAGTAGAAGCAAAACGTGGTTCTCTATCAAAGGAGTAAGTACAGTTACTGAAAGTTGAAAACATAAGATTTAATGAGTGCTTTTCTTGAATTTAACAAAACAAATGAGTCTACGTCAGACTACGACACGCTAGTAAAACTATAAGATGAATAACAGATGAATGTACTTGACTGGTACAACATGAGTTCAGTCTACTTAATAGTCCATTTAGTTAGGCAAGTACTTGGCGGTGTAGAAAATTATCCGGAATATTGTGTTAGATTCCTGTTGCTGCAGTCTAGCCTTCCACAGACCTATTCCACTGCAGGTTTCCATGCCTTGAAATCGCCACATTACTCTGGAATGATTCATGGCTGTTGGCCGCCTCAGTAAAGAGGTTATCATACATGGCTACGGACAGACACAGACACACCAGCGAAGGACCTCCGACCCAGGTCTATATTCTAGAGGACCCATGCAGAGTTTGGAATATTCGTCGTCCGTGGGACCTTGTCCTCGCAGGCGCAACCCCCCCAGTCCACGCCCGGCTTTTACAAAGCATTGGGCAGAACTTAAACGTTGCAATTTTGAAACTCTGTCACATTGCCTCCGGGTACCACTCCATCGGCAAAACCACTTTGTTAAAAGGTGCTCTGTTCACTCTGTCAGTCCCCGCCACGCGAACTTAATGGGATCAATCCCCCGGCGACTCTGTCGCCGATCTCCAATATAGTTCCACCACAGCCGAAGGAACAGACACGACAGTACCAGTACGGTCCCTGCCAAACCTGAACCAACCTGAGTACAATACTCGGGTTCAAATTATATACTCCCTTGGTTGAGACTGCCTAGGTACAGATCCTAATCAGTACTTCCCAGGCGTTCGCCTGAGTCAACCCCCGAGAGGGGACACATGGCTATAGTCCCTGCTAGACGGGACTTTTCTGAGAAACGATATTATGATAGCACTGGTTTAAACGGGAGAATTCTAGAAAAAAGAACCCCTCCTAGCAACGGAACTCTAGCAACGTCTTGACCTTCAATCTGATACCAGTTTCATATTTTTAACTTATTGCCTAAATGAGAAGTTGAATCATTTCTGCATTTGAAAGACCTATCCTAAGAATTTTATACAGATCAAGAGAAAGAAAAAGGGGAATGGAATTTTTGTAAGCAAAGTCACGCCTAGCTACGGAAACGATGTTGCGGTTACGCGGGATTTTTTTTAAACCTCACCAAAAATGTCTCGGCTGGACCTCTGCCTCAGGTAGAGACAACCAATCAGACGAAAGTTCTGCTTCTGAAGCAATACGTGATTCCGATTAACGCGATAATCGATTACTGTTTGGCGTTCAAGTCTTTGTAGTAAGTGAAAATGGTAGCCTAGCTAAGTTGGTTTCCTAGAATTGTGCGGGTTCTGAGAATTGTCCCTTTCGACGTCCAGTCCCATGTAACCGAAACCTAATGTGATTAAGGTTTAAGGCACACCGAGAGGACACATGCTTTTCACCTACATCGGGAGGGAACATAATCTTCATCTACATAGCTTATGGATTCTACCGTGAGATTATATACTTTACCTTTTTCGGCTTAGTGCAGCCGTAAAGGAGGAATGTAAATCTCCCAACAAATAGAAACCAGTTTTCCAACCTTTTTCACTTTTAACTTTTTCTATAAATGTAATTGCAGGTGTTGACATGTTCTGGTTTTATTCTAGTTCGCTGCTTAATAGTGGTAAGCATTGCTTTGTTCTGGTAAAGTCCAATTTCTTTGCTACCGTATGGATAAAGACGTGTGATTCCTTTCTTAAATATGAGGGGTAAAATGATGTTTTATTAATATGTGGAGTTTGTTTTTACTTTCTTTCGATACTTCATAATTTTTGTTTTGCATTGGTTATAAAACCAGCTATAATCTTAAACCTTTTATTGAAATTTCCTTCAGACTCTTGAAACCAAGTTTTCGACAATTTTATGACAGTAAATTGACACCTTTCTGTTGCAGTTATTTAAATGTAGCTATAATTCATTTATACTCACAAAAATTACATGTTTTTATATGAAAATTGATTTTAGATCTGCTTGTACTCTTTGCTACATTTTTCAGAAGACAATTCAGAAGGCATTTTAGAAAACTTTCAGCAATTTTTATCACGCCTTATATGGGAACTCTAGCAACGTCTTGACCTTCAATCTGATACCAGTTTCATATTTTTAACGTATTGCCTAAATGAGAAGTTGAACCATTTTTTGCATTTGAAAGATCTACCCTCAGAATTTTATGCAGATCAAGAGAAAGAAAAAGGGAAGGGAATTTTTGTAAGTTCATTTGCAATTGTAATTACATATTGACATTGTTTAAGAAATGCTAATTAAAATATTCACTTGGTTAACTTACTAATTCACTTGGATAACAAAACTAAAATATTAAGAAATAGCAAACTAGTTACTGTCATTTCCCAAAATCTGATTCCATATGCTTTGGCATTTGGTCCTATAAAATCAGAATTGGACCCAGAACTGGAGAATCTAATAAAACATATGGATTTTTACTGCGCTTAAATTGACCTCCCCCTACGGGCTTGGGTATTTTAAGTGGTTTTCCCCATGTGTAACGTGTATACGAGCCAGTTTCCCTTAGAAAGTTAGGATTTTAATTTACATTATATGAAATATACTGCCTAGGTTCTGCATGTTCTAGTGATCATATTAATTAATTAGTTCTCACCATTTACTTATGTTATTTTGTATCTTTGCTCATCTTTACTTTGTTTTAACTTTATTAATATTATTATTATCATTATTCCCTTTTTGGCTATGCCAATTTAGTATTCATTTTCGTAAAAGCAAATTAAAATTTGGCCCAGTTTCTATATTTTTATTCATATACAAATACTAATGATTTTAGTTATCCTGCTTTTATCCTGTTTTTAGTTATCCTGCTTTGTTTTTAGGCAATTTTGTGCATTATTCTGCGCATTTAAAGTACACATTGTTTTTATAATTATGGCTT